ATTACCTCTTGTTATATAGTGGTGTTAGAGAAATTTGTTTCATTACAAACGTTAAGAATTCAAATTTATGACAATGTCATAGACAAATACTATAACACGAATACGAATCAATCCATTTGAAAATATTACAATGACTTTTAATTCAAAGACATTATACAATGTTTTTAATAAAGCTTATCCAAACATATAAAAAAAGTTTCATAAATGACATATAAGTATGCAGATTCCAAGTCAGGTGGCTTTGGAAGTGCACCACCAAGCGTGATAGCATTACAGTCATGCTAAACCATGTCTCAGGTCCATCTTCTTTGGTATAAAATTACATATTACAGAATATGTAACACAAATCATGCGGTGGTGTTTTAAGACGCACTAATCACCAATATTGTCTGTCATCATTGTGTTTGTACCTGTTACAGAGTAATCATATGGATCGTAACCATATTAGAAAAAAATTACTGCATTACAATCATGTTACAAATATAACAGCACATATAGAACCAAAAAATTTCTTCTGTTGACATCAATCGAAACAGAAATTCATAATGGAAAAAGAATCTTCATAGAGTATAGCCGAATCACCATTTTTTGGCTGTTAAGAGAGCTTCATATGTCTTTCTTACTTCACCTAGCTATGTGTCTCAATAGGGTATAGCCTAGTTAGATCTTTTGCATTAATTTTTTCAAGGAAATAAATATTCTTGGTGACCAGAAGCAGCCTTAGGCATATATAAATTGAAAAGGCTGTAAGAACATAAAGTAAAAAAGAAAGAAAAGATGGTTATCAAATCCTATTTAAAGGCTGTAAGAGTTTAACATCGATCCTATAGTTTCTCTATGCCATCATCATTCAAAGTTACTTGTTCGGTATATTATTTACTTCCATACATCAATTTCCAAATTTCACTACACCATATATTAACAATCATGTTCAAAGGAAGTGTCTGCTATATATGTTTTCTCTAACTTACGACACATGCTTCTGAAACATGAAGGGTTCTATTAACAGGTTCAAATATAAATGCTCTTGTCAATGAGAAACACAGCTTTAATATATTACAGTATCAAGCTAACGGTAGCAGGCAATCATAAGCACATTGGTAGATATACTCAGACATTATCCTTGTGACCTTGAATATGGCAGCGCAAGAACAAGCAATGCATCAAACATAAATTGCTATATATCTTTAACCTCATGATTGATTCTAATTTTTTTTTATATGTAGTCTGTTAGTGCTGTTTGCCTATCTTCATTGTGTTTCTATCTACACCATACACTAATTATTTCTACTTATGCAGAAACTAACATTTAAGAGTAGTAAACATAAATTACACGACTCAAGAACATACACATTACAATGAAATTTGACAGCTTTAATTCTCATCCACATTCCACCTGTCACCAGAATTTTCTGATCTACAAAGGGTGTACAACATTGAAGGAAAGATAATATATCGCTGGAGATAAATCTACTGGACTGAACTCAACATGAACATCATATGCTAAACATTTAAAAAAAAAAAGATAAAGAAGAAAACCAAATCTGAACCAAAAAAAAGGACAAATCAAAGAATCAACTGGATTGAACTCACTATGATGATTACATGATTAAAGTTTTTCTCTTTTTTTGTTTGGTCATATATGATCAAAGATTATAAATTAGAAAAAACCAAACCTTTCTTAGCTTTACGCTACCGCAGATGCTCCTGCAGCTACCAGCTTTCTAGTAAGGTTTAAAGCTGAAATGGGATTACAGCATAGAGTTCAGTTGAAGGTAAGAACACGAACCTACATGAAATTTGTGAAATTAAAATCTAACACCATGGCTAACGGAAAAACAAATTCTTTGTGTGGAAAAAAACCTCAACGACCAAATAAAAAAATTTCCCTTACCTCACCTTTGAGAGTAACCAACCTGATGCTTGTTCAGTGATGGTTTCGTTTTTTCAAAGCAGACACAGGAAGAAAGTATTTTTTTGGCACATCTGATTCCACTGCCCTTGCGTGTTCCTGTGTGCAACCGAGGGTATGGTCGTCATGTGGTTAATCAGTCATTTCTCCATTTAGGTAGACATCGTCCAATACCACGTCTCAGATGGGAATCGGTTGCCTTGCATTTGGGCTAAATTGACATGCAAACTCGATCGATGGGGAACTGATTTTGCTAGCAAAATTTTCAAAATTCTTCAACCAAACACGGTGATTCAAGAATCCCACTTATCTGAATCCTATCTTTCTGATGAGATAACTCCAACCAAACGCCCCCTTAGGCTTTGTTTTCATTGTATGCATGGTAATATATATGCTAAATAAAATTGGAATGAAAGTAGCTGCTTGGCCATGCAGTTTGTTTTCTGCAAATTGCTGGTCAGGGTGTTTGTTTTATTGTTGTTCTCTTTCAACTTTAATTTCATGCACCCTTGAAATAATTTAGTTCTTTAATTTCATGCACCCTTCCACGTGCCATCCTTGAATGAAAGAAGGTTCTTTTTTTCTACATTATAAGTTATCTATATCGAGTCCAAAATAATGTCATTTTGAAAAAAAAAATTAAAGTATTTTTTTAATTATAATTTATTTCAGAGTTATAATACTTTTTTATTATAATTTTTTTTAACTCAAAATAACATTATTTTGAGAACAAATATAAATAACTTATGGGGAAGAATTCGTTTACAAATTTTTTTGATTTTTTTTTAAATTACACTATGTTTTCTCGGGAGAACATAGTGAAACTAGTATTCTCCCGAGAGAACATAGTGTAATTTGTAAGAGTTTGTAAAAAATTTTTTGTAAATATAACCTGTTCTATAACTTATTTAAAAAATATTAAATCATAAAAAAATCATGGTAGTTTGGATCACTCTAAATATTTCCGTGGCACACGTGCTGACCAGTTGCATGATGCACCGCAGGTTTTGGTTTTAACTTTTAATATGACGTAATTTCATTTAATATTTTATTTTGCACACGTTGCAATAAATAAAAAATCATGAAAACTACGTGGCCCAACATAAACCAAATAAAGTATTTTATTTTTTAATAATTATTTTAAATAATTTTAAAATAGGGTCAATAATTTTTTATTATTGACCATGTTAAAGGTTGATTGATCTACTATGTTGTTTATCTTCTAAAATTTTATATTAATTTAGGGCTTTATATTTCTCTTGTCGTTAGTTGGTGCAAGAGAGATTTTTTGTTCTAGGAGAAATATAAAACCCCTTAATTTATTTCTATCTAATTAAAGTTGACCGACATTTACGAGAATAATATATGAGCAAGTGATTTATTCGAATAAAAGGTTCCTTCCTCGAATAAATGTCTTTAAAACCCTATGAATAAGGGGATATTATCCCATCGTGTCTCTCTCTCTTTCTCCTCATTCCCTAACACTTTAAAAACTCAAAATCAATTGTATCACTCATTTCCATCTCCAATTTCTCATATTTCTCTCAGGTTATCCAAGTTTTTAGACGGTATTTCAGCTAAGGTAAACCCTTTTTCTTTTCTTTATGTTGATCAACTCCAAATTTCTTTTATTTTTTCCAAATCGTTTGTTTGAATTTCAATATTGTTGATTGCACCATATTTTTAAATCCCTCCTTCTTTGTTCAACTGCCCCGTATTTAAGTAGAAAAATGGAATGTGTAATTTTCTTCTTGTTATTGTCTGTGGATATACTATTGGACACCTTGTTATCACACCTTGAATTGGATGAGTCTCAATCCTAAAGAACCCACAAATATTCATCTCAAGTTCATATATACATGTACAAACCATTAGAACAGTTAGAATAAAATAAAATAAAATAAAATTTGTGGATTCAAATTGAGTTGCCCACTTCTATAATTTACTCAAGTGTATCATACTTATTTACTTGAGTGCGTGGGGGAACACATAGGCCCCCCAACACATAAGTTTTAAGTACTTCCTTTCAAGTATGATAAACTCTATAGTCATTTTGAGGTATATTGTTAATGGGAAAAATATTTCTGCAGTTACTGCAGATAAATTATCTATATTTATTTTCAAAACGACGTCGTTTTGATATTGAAATTTTAAAAAATTATAAATATAAAGACTATTATAACCCTAAAATAAATTGAAATTACAAGAACACATGATTTCCGTCCAAAACGACGTAGTATTGAGTTTACTGTAGATAACTTATCTGCAGTAACTCTGCAGAAAAAATGAACCCATTATTAATATTATGAATATTCTTTGTAAAAATACTGAATTATAGTATATTTTATGAGGAATGAATTCATCTGTTGCAGGAGAAATTCATCCGCGGCTGCACAAATAAAAGAAATCCCTTCAGCTTTTTTTTTTTTTTTAATTTGGTGGATCCCACGATTTCATGAGTCTAAGTTTCTCCTGTTAACCCATATTTTGTTTATTTTTTTGGATGATGTTTTGAGAACAATATACTGTAAATTTAATTTGTCATATTCAAGGTTTGTTTATGGTTTATACTCTTCCTAGATGAGTTACACAATTTTTTATTTTTAAACCACATTGGCTGCTTTTTAATATGTTTGTTAATGAAAAGGGATGCATATATGTAATTATAGCGACGTATTTGCAAAATTAATAACGTTTTCCCTAAAAAAAATTTTTTGAATATTATGCTACTGTAATTATTTTCGACTTAATTCAATGACACGGGGCTACTTCTTGACCTAATTTTACGTGACAAGGAATTTCAGTATAACCTTGACATTAAAAATCTTTTCGTCCGTAGAAAAAATATTTTCACTTGTTTTTTTTTTTTTTTTCATTGTGGTCTACTGTGCTAATAAATCTTATCATATTTTCTGCTATGCGAATTTTTCTAATGAAAAATATTTAAATATTTGTTATATTTTATTTAACTTTTTCAGTTGATATTTTATTTATCAAGATGCATGGCAGTAGAAAATGAATACACAATGTGGTTCCTTAACCCATTGATCTGCACATGAGAAAAGAAGTATACACTGCTTGCATTTCAAAACAAAGTACTCAGCATTACAACACAGCTTTTCACTATCACATATTTTTCATGTTACAAAAGGGTGAATATAATGATAATGCTAAATTTGGATTCATGTGCCAGCAATCAAATCATAGTAAGAACTAAACCAACATCCAAGCTTTACCCAATGAAAAGGGGGAGCAGTGTTATCAACACTCATCAAAACATTGTCTCTTCAATAACTCCTCAAAACACATGTATGACACACAAATATGAACTTTTTGATGGGGATGCATCTTATTGCACATCCAAGATGAAATCTATAATCAATGCTGTGGGTTGTGTACTGGTCATGATGCAGAACACACAATCAGCAAGAAACTGGTCTCTGTACAAACTCTTCACTTTTGTCCAGCATGTGCATTTCTCTTGGCTTCAAGTGTTGTACCCTCTTTAAGTGCTGCTTGAGCTTCATTCTCCATTCCAAGTCCAGCCAGTGAAACAGATTGAAGATAAGATGCAATGTGCCATATGGGGGAAATCACTTGTGCTTGCATTGCATCATTCAGTGCTTCCTGAGGTATGTCACTGAAGAGATAACACAAACTGCGCCGTGCATGGACTGTTGGAGAAATCATTGTTCCAACATCAATGAACTGCATGTGAAACAATAAACTCTTGTCAGAACAAACTAACATAAAAAAAACCAAATTAAATGTCAAATAGACCTGCTAAATAAGATGGACCCAAAGGTGCTGCCAAAATGCTACCTTCATTGACTTGATATAGATTCAATCATTCAAATGAAAGAATAAATTACTTTATTCTTGACAATTATTATATTCACAACATTAAATATTGATGCACAACTCCAGTTAGAAAACAAAAGCATTATTCATTATTATGAAAATCTCACATCAACTAGTACTGTAGGATCTAGTCACTATTAAACGGGCAAATCCGGGTGCACAAGGCTCCTTGACTTGCGAGGGTAGGGGTAAAGGTTGATTGTACGTAACTTCACTCTTGCATTTTTGCAAAGAGACTGTTTCCTAAACTCGGACTCATGGCCTTCCGTTCACAAGAAGCAACTTTACCACTGCTCCAAGACTCGCCCTTATCTAGTCACTATTAATTTCAATAAAAATATATTGAGAGATCTATTTTGTAGCACGCAATCTTATATCACTAAAAGCAAAGTTACAATTAAAAAATGGTAACCCAAGTTTTGATTAGTCTAAATAACACCATAAGAAATCTACCTGTGTGTAGCACTCAATTGCTAATCTAAAGTCTTTGTGTCGGAAAGCAGCATCCCCTTTTTTCTTAGAATTTAGTGTGTCCTGCATTTGATCAGTCCACATCTGGAATGATAACTGCAGTATCAGTGAAGAGAATACACGAGTTAGCATCTAAAATAATGAAGGATAATATGATCACTTCACAGTTTTTGAGTAAGAGTAAATATATTGCACCAATGTTATTAAAACCGGCCCGATCAATGACCTGGTCGAGGTACTGGGTCACTGGTTCAACCAGTGGATCACTGGTTGAACTGCATGACCCGGTAATTATATATAAATCTATAATTCATATTAAAAAAAATTATAAATAAACTCAAATAGCTGAAAAAAATAATATAAACTCTAAATATTTTAATATAAAAATAAATAAATTATACATTATTGTCCAATAAAGGATCAAACAAACACATAATGCTTGTTATATTGGTGTTTCAGGTTTGGTAAACGACATCTCTAACTATCAAATCAAAATTCCCTGCATAGTGCATGACTGAGATAATATTAAGATTGTAGATACATAACTTATGTAAGTCAATAAGTAATAGATCACTCAAATATGTCAATTATTATTATTTTTTTGGAAAACTTTTTTTTTGAATTTCTTTTTTAAAAAACCCGGGCCGGGTCACCGGTTTTTAACCAAAACCGGCCGGGTCGCACAGGGTAGTACCGGGTCTGATACTTGACCGATCCAATGTAATAACCGGACCGGTCAGAAGACCGGTTCACCGGGTTGACCCGGCCGGTTCGTTCCGGTTTTCACAACATTGTATTGCACACACAAACTACTAACCATAAAAAGATATAATAAGTTAATAAATAATCTAATATCAAAATCAATAAACAATGTAATATTAAAATATATGTTAGATAGATAACCTCATTTGCTACTCCTTCATCATCTTTATAGCCAATACTTTCGAGAACTTCATGTATAGCAGTCAAGTCCTTTCTTGAACATGCTTCACCAAGTGGAGATAATGAAGCAAAAGTAGCACTATGTGCCATACCCATCAATAAGTGTGAAGGAACCTAAAAAGAAATGAGAAGAAATAAATTTTGGTGAGGCAAAATAATCAGGAGTTGAACTTCCAAACTAGATTAGTTAAGCTTTGTTGTCATGAATGTCTACTATGTGTGTGCGACCATATCCATATGCAAGTATGAATATAGAAAAAAATATGCAACATTTTCAGTATTAAGATTATAATTTTTGTTTCAATTTTGAGATTTCCCATGTGTCTACAACCAGTGTGTCTGTGTCTAGAAAATTCCAAAGGAATTTGTTTAGAATGATGATATCAGGACAAGAGTCCCCTGTCCCAATTATAAGAACAAATCCATCTAGCTGAGAGAAAGAAACCACTTACTGGACCAGGCTAATCAAAAGATGCACAAGACTATCTTGTTATGATAAAGAAAATATACTTAACAGGGAAAGTCATTAATCACATTTTGTCTTTGCCTTATTTTGAAGACCTGTGAAAAAATCAAAAGGTATTTTTCGAACTACGGAAGTGATGCTTTACTATCACATAATAATAGTAAACACACCTCTGTTTCTTTCTGAAGAGGAGCCAAAGCAGCCACTAATGACTTCGGATTAGGTCGTTCTCTAGGTTCATACTGCAAACATCGAGATGCCAACCGCACTAACTCAGTTCCATCATCATCAGAAAATTGTCCTTCCAAACAAGAATCTGTTAGCATCTGAAGATTTCTGTCCCGAATCAAATCAAGAGCCTGCTCCAAATTTTTTGAAAATTAGATATGCAAGTTTGCATATAATATACAAATATGTACACTAAATGAAATATAAAGGTGAAAATTATGCTTTCTTCAACTTTGTCAAGGTAAATATTTGTATTATTTACAACTAAGTAATCTTTAATAATGATTTCTAATATTTATAATTTATCAACTTCTTCCATTCCTTCCATTCTTTCTTTTAGAAGGATAGGTGAGTGGGATTCTTTTCCCTTCAATAAGATGACTTACATGACTTGGGGGGATATGCTTCCCACTAAGAAGATCCAGCAAAAGAGTGCCGAAGCTATATATAACACTTTCTGGTGTTACTCTCCCTACAGAACAAAGAAGAGTTATAAGAAACCCTGGATCACCCAATTCTTACAAAATATTAACGATTGTAAATTTTACAATGCAAGACACATTTTCTATCAAATATTGCACAAAGAAAAACACAAGCAAGAAGGACAACTAATAACCATAGGCATCATATGGCTGCTTATGAAGGGAAATAATAAGCTGATTCTTAAATATGCAATGAGCTGAGCACTTCCAGTACATTAGACATACAGAGAATGTTCAATTTAAGCCAACTTATGCACCACTGAGATGCTTTTTCACCAGTGCAAAAAAAAGGGACAAAAGTTTTATGGGAAAAAAGCACCACCAAGCTACAACAATCTGAAGCATAAGTAGCATATGAAGACATAAGCCTAGATCAAGAGGTTGTTTTTCTTTGTGAGAAATTAAACCTTCGCAATCGCAACTCATGATAGTAATAACCAATTCTGCAGCAATATTAGCCTTTTAAACTGTTATTTGACACAAAGAATGTTTATGTATCGAGTTTATACAACAATTTTGGCATTCTAAAAGAATCATAACTTTTTTCCTACAAATCTAAATAAAGCCATGACTGCAAAGGAATAATGCACACCAGTTCTGAGATACTCCGGAGGGGTAAACGCCAAATTTGTGCTATAACTTTTCCCGTCCCTACTATTCTTCATCAGGCCAAAACTTGAAAGCCTAGGATTACATTCCTGCAAAATTCTAACATATAATTCATATTAATCGAATTATGTTTGACATGTATAGAAAGGGGAGCACAAAAACTTACCTCATCAAATAGAACTCTATATGCATTGAGGTCATGATAGAGGGCACGCCCTTTGCTTGTGCAGTATTCTAGTGCTTGTGCAAGATGTAGAACAACTCTTAGTCGCATTGCCCATTTCATCGGTTGTGTTTCCCCTGATTTAGACACATGACTATATCACTTGAACAACACAATCATGACAATGTAGTATGTAGCAAGGAAAACAGGATCTTAAAAGAGAGCCTGCAAACATCATGAAATCTAAATCTAAAATCTAACATAAACTTTTGGAAAGATTTATCTAATAATGTTTTTGTTTAGATTTTGAAGGTCACAAAATGAAGCTTCAAAATTGGAAATAAACATTGTTTCTTTACAAAAATCAATTTTCACACCTCCCAATATGTCATATTTGCATTATTGTAATAGTGAATGCTATTTATCTTACATACACACTTCTTCGTAATTTGACACTTCAAAAAATGATTTTTCCTATCAATATCCAAACAAGTTTTACCCTTCAAATCAATTTTCCTACAATCAATTCTTACAAAAGCAATTCTCTTCAAAGTTAATTCCTCAAAATCTACACCTAACACACCAAGGCTAAAATACGATATCTTTAATGTGTTTATTCCTTCTCTTAGAGAAAAAATAACATGTCTACTGATTGAGAGTAAATTGATCTATAATTACAACACAAGTAAAAATTTGAAATATCACAAAAAAAAAATTAAGGCATGCGACAGTAATCATTATAATAAGCTGTGCTAGCACCCTTTGTGAAGTTGCCCTAGTCCAAATAATAACTGACAAACAAATGCAGAAAAATGGAGAACATTATATAACATCCAAAATGAAAACGATTGAAATGTGGTGGCTAGAGCTCTAATCGCATATTATGCACCAATAGAGTCCCAAGCCACTAGCATTGATCTAGTGGTGAAGGATTTGAATAGTCTGCATGAGGTGATAGGTTCAAACCTCAGTGCCACCATTGTATCCAAAAAAATAAAAGCCAGTATTTCACTCACAGCAAAGCCAATAGCAGAAATATCGGTAAACCATTAATTCAATACATATTGATCAGATGTCCAAAAATAAAAAGGATAAAACATATGTATGAAAGGAACTATTACAATGGAAAAGGTGTTTTGCCAGCGTTTCATTGGGCATATATTCGGTCACAAGCAACCTCTCATCGCCTTCACAGCAACAACCAAGCAAATTTGCCAACCTCTGGTTACGAAGCTGACCAACTGATCTAGCTTCCTCCTACAGTTACAAAAGAAAATTGTTCTGATTAATTTAAAGTGAAAAGGACAATGAAAGGAAAACATACCAGCACAACATGGTGCACCATTAGCTTCGGAAAAATAATCAAACCTAACCATTACTTGAATATTATCAATCCGATTGATAACATATTGAAATATACTTTTAAGCAATAACCACAAACACACTAGCATGTTCCCATCAATGCAAACTGATCAGACAACAAAAAGACCAGAAAAGGTCACCTGATTTCCATTTAAGAAATTGATTTCAACAAAGGTCAAACATAGTGGGTGAAAAAAGAGAGTTCAATGGTCGTGATCTCACCAAGAAAGTGTTAGATACCCTACTATTACTATAGCTATGTGAGGAGAAATAAATGGAAAAATAGTCGATTATTGACCTGCGTGAACAAGAGAGGTGAGGAAAAGGGGAATATGCATAGGAGATTTTCTAGTAACTGCCTAGACACATGGCAGCAGGAGAAGGTGTGAAGTCTGTTAAGAGTGTTAAAAGAAGATAGAGTGGGAGTGGAAAGGAGGGAAGAATTCAGTAGGTAAAGTGGGACTTGGGAGGAAGCTAGCCCCTTGAAGAGCTAACCTAGTTACTGAAATGCTTCATTTCTGTTTCTTTCTTACGTCAGTTTCTGTAATCTCTGGGTTGATTCCCAGTTTTCTGCAATATTAGAGTGTGTTTCTAACTTTCTATTAGAAAGCTAGCATTGACGACCCTCAGGGTAATTCTCCCCAACGTTGAATCCCCCCTTCCCTGCCCTCCACCAACAAAACACTAAGTGATGGATCATGGAAAGTTTCCATATGTGTAAGTCTGTCAGTGCGTGACAGAAAAGAGAGAACAAAAACGACTCACCAAAAGTTTATATTATGATTTATTCATCAGTAATGGTTAATTGGCACTTGTCTAAGGTAAATTCTAAGTATTTCTGCGTGGAAGGTTGTGAACAGGAGAATAGAAAGTTAAGAGAGTATCTGAAGAAGCCATTAAGTAAAAAAGAAGAATACTTGCCAAAAACTGCCGAGCATCAGGCCAAGCATTTCTATTAAACCGCTTAACAGCAATCCTCATTTGATTCTCCATCTTCCCTTTATAAACAACGTTAGGAGCCTTCTCTCCATGTTCAGATACTATATTCTCAGCAGCAAAACCAGATGTTGCATTCTTAAGTTGCTCCAATGTAAATTCACGAAATACAGGCCCATGATTGGCCTCATTTCTGTCTCCATTTTCTGGAAACCATAACAATAAACATCTATCAAGTATCAACCATAACCATTACTCAACAGAACAGAATGCATATAGCATCAGTGTATCACTTTTACCTACCAGCATCTGGAGCTTCAAGAATAGATGCCTTAACTTGTGAATCCACGCAACATGGCACGAGTGTGGAGCACTGAATCCCCATTTTGATACAATAAAATCAAAATCAAAGTAATGACAACCTCCTCCACTCTCAATTATGTGCCTTTCTGTATATATCCAAAAACAGTAACCTGTCCACTCAGCTCCACCTGGACTGTTTCAAACTTATGCAATGTCACAACATACCTCCATATTGAGCATTAACAATTCGTCACCAAAGTCCAAAGCTCAGGTAACTATATGATGTAAATGCCTGTGAATCACATCAAAAAGCTGTGTTTAAGGTAAGATAAAGGGGATAAACCAGCAACAAAATTTCTGATCATAATCCACATTTTAGGTATAAGGGCATGGTCTTTGATCACTCCCAATCAGCTAAAATAGAATAGTCCCTATATTCTTTACTTAATTTTCAGGTGGCACTAAGTACCAATAAGCATAAGTCAGATTTAAGGAGAATACAAACATCTACAATCAACAAATGCAAAACTACTTCCTTTAAGGGGAAAAGTCATGATAGGGCAATAACCCCAATCCAGATGATCTTAAATATGACAACCTAACAACTATTAATCTTATCATTTAAAGCCAAAAAAACATCAGATATGAACATTTAATTGCATTTCACCAAAGTGGGGTAAATCATAAACACACAGATGCTGAATATATAACCTCATATGATAGGATAGTATCTTGGCATCTCTCTGCATCTATCTCTTTTTAGAGTCAACTCAGAATGCTACTCAAGTCTATTTTTTTCAAACTAAGAACTGAATAAAGCACAACTTTTTCAACCTACCCAAAAAGCTACTTCACCTTTAATCTTCTTCTTCTCCAATGGTAGAGGGAAAAAGTTGATCCACCTGAAGCTGATAAAAATGCTTTTTTTTCTCTCTCTCGATCAAATCAACAGTTTTACCAGATACACATTTTCGCTCCAGAAAAAAAGGTTTACAATTTGCAAAGTTCGAGTCTTTTCCTCGATTGAATCAAACCCCACATATAATTTTCCTCAGAAAATCAAGAATTTTTGTTTTTCCCAAAGCCCAACAATTCTTCACCCCAGATCAAGTAAAATATTAAACCCAATATTTAAAAAAAAAGTATATATATTATTATAAACACAATCAATTAAGAAGAAATGAAACTCAAAGCTGAACTGAAGATCTGTGTGGAAAGCTGAAGACCGAATGAAGAAGATGGTGATGATGAAGCTAAGCTTATGAATTTTAGTTTATTTTATTTTATTGACCTTTTCATTTGGAATAAACTATAAATAAATCAATTATTATCTCCGACATGTCATGAGTATATATTCAAACTCTGCATATTAATATTTTAAAAGAAATAGTTAACAATTTATTGGCATACTTGTTCATGGAATTTTTTATTTCCATTATTATTTCAGTTTGATTTTTTTAAATGCTCTTTTCTTTTTTTAAAATAAAAAAAAAAAATCCACCGCCAAGAATAACCAATAATTTTGAAGGGTTTTATTTACTTGGTATAGTATAGCTAGGCATAAAAGTCAAATCGGACACATTCAACCAATGACGTGTGTCCATGTGTACATTATCCAAGAAAAAGCATTATTTTCAAAAAGGAAAATAACTACACACCAGAATTGAATTTAATCAAATTCTTTATTCGGCCGTATGTGTCAATTGTCAAGCAATCAAACTGTATTAAATTTTAGCTAAAAGAATAAATGCTTTTTCCAATTTCTTTTCTTCTTTTAAGCTCATAAGAAATAAGAACACATATGAATTTAAATATTTTGATATAACCTTTTAGGGGCGTTTGATAGAGGAGAAATTTTTTTTTGTCTGGAAATCTCGATTTTTAAAAATATGATTTTATATTCAGTTTACGGTAATATTCAAAAATTTAAAATTTAAAAAAATTCTGTTTCCCAGAAATCCGGCCAAAATCCTTGCACCAAACACCCCCTTAAACACTCGTGAATTTATATACCTACATTTCGAGGCATGCTTTTCAGCATAATGATGCTTATTTTAATTTGTAGGAACTTTGCTTGTAGCTGTCTTGCTTTAAGGGATAACACAAAATCATTCTGCATTTAACAATTCCAACTATGCTATTATAACTGTCTTGCTTTTATGTACGAGTATATATATATATATATATATATATATATATATATATATATATATATATATATGAGGCAGGATTCTTTGACACCTTATATGAGAGTCGTTAGATAAAAAAAAAATCAACGACTCTGATTTGTAAGTATTGACATCATTGATCTTTTTTGATCTAACGGCACTCAAATGAGGTGTCAAACTTTAAATTTGACATTGATGTCAAAAGATCTACCTCTATATATATATCGTTTATCCTTTTAAAAGATATAATTTTGTATCATTATAAATGAAATAATGTCATTTGGATACATAATTGCTAATCTTTTATATTTTTTCTCCTCCTTAGAATTAGGAAGAGAGAGAAAACGAATAATAAAATGGAAAAATTTATCAATTATAAACTAAAATGATATTATTTCATCTAAAATAACACAAAATTATATCTTTTAAAAATATAAATATTTTTTCATATATATATATATATATATATAAAAGTCTAACACCACTTTTTGAAAGACTAATCATCGTCATTTACAGCTAAAAAGAGAACAAAAAAATAAGCCAAAAAAGGTTAAAGAAGAGAAAAAAATACACCTCTTTTCCAGCTCACACCAAATAAGTGTTGACGTGAGATATATAATAGATCTGATAAACCTTAGAATGAGGCGTGTGTTTCTTGCCTCTAGAGAACGTGTGACTAACGTTCTTCATTTTGAAATTTGTTTACCATCCTTTAGTTTTAACATTATATATGATTAATTTGGTAAACTGTAGCATGACTTTAGAATGAGAGAACATATTTTTCTACTAAATTGTATTGTTTGACCAAAAAAATGATGACCTTTTTAAAAAATGAAGATAAGAATTTCCCCTTTCAGTTTTGAATTTCTTTTAAAAATGATAACCAAATTAACTCAAGCTATTAACTAACTTATATGAAACACATATTTGTACAAGTTTGGAAGTTAAATCTCTTCGTAGAGCTAACAGAGCTTAGTTCACGTTCGAATTTTCTATTAAAAAAATGTACAAAATATCTTACTAGGGACACGAGTGCTTAAATATTCCAATGGCTAATGGGTTATTTTTAAATAAGCTAATGGGTTATTTTTGGAGCCCATACTCATGTTTTTTTTTTAATATTAATTCATGCCATCTTTTTTGGCAAAAAAATTAAAATATTACACTTTAATAATTAATTACGAATAGATTACAGTTTGAATATTATTTTCAGATTTATTGCAGTCATTCACGCCCAAAATGGGCGGGACAATTAACGCACAAGTTAGGCGTGAATTCCACGTCATTCACGCTCAAACCCATGCAAGCGTGAATCAAAGGGTATTCCAGCCCCATCTAGGCGTGACTCAGCCCCCTTTCCAGTCCACTTTGGGCGTTAATACCACTTATTTTTCCTATATAAACACCTCTCATCTCCACATTCATCACAACTCTTCATCTTAACTTCTTAGTCTTCGATACAGTCTCACTTGCTTATGCATACTCTGTTTTGTGTTTTTCTTTATTAATATAGTTAAGAATGAGTTCACATTCTGATTTTGTTCGTGTTGTTTTATATTATACTGGTAGGAAAATGGAAGGTCGACGTGGTGTCATTTTTTAAGGCGAGAAAAGACCAACATGTATCATGCGGAACTCAATAATTAGCGAACTACATCAAAAAATTCGTCAAAAGTTAGCGCTTGAAGGTAAACAATCTATCAATATGGTCACTGCAAGAATATGGTGTGAATCACAATACATTAGTATGCAAGTTGTTGACGATGAAAACGTAGAAATGGTAATCGAAGAGTTTTTCAACCAGGCAAGGAAAGATTTTCTAGAGTTATACATGGATATTGCCGAAACAGAGGATGTTGTTATACCCGTGAGGTCAGTTGATTTAAATTTTGCACATAATGCATCATCATCTGCTGCTCCTGTTGGTAATCTGTCTGAGGAAGGAGAAAATGACCTTACTTGGGTTATGGAAGATGATGGTGAGGATGACGATGATGAAAATATTGCAATGAAAAATCAACTTCTTGCTGAGGATGCTAGTGCTTCAGACAACGATGATGAATGTGGTATTCCTGAAACTCAAATCCTAGAATATAATGTTGTGGCGGAGTCTCATGTCCAGGAACATGATAACGTCGCGTCCACTCAGTTACCGCCAATATCGGAAGGTAAGTAAGTTAATGGACTGAAAATATACATTTATATTTATCAAATTGTTTGGTTTTAATGTTTAATTTCGTACTTGCAGTGGACGATGTTGTTCCATTTTGGAAAGAAATTCCACATTACACATACATTAATTGGGATCATCCGAGGGAACAAGATTCTTTCCATGATGGTTCAAGTTCTGGCATGGTATGCAAAACGAGTGTGAATTGGGAGGGTATGGTTTGAAAGTTTCTTATAAAAAGGCATCAATGTCAATTTCACTTGTTCAGGAGAAGATCACCCATGCGTATGGTTTCAAAGTTTCTTATAAAAAGGCATGGTATGCAAAACAAAAAGCAATTGCGATCATGTATGGTGATTGGGAGGGGTCTTATGCATTTTTGCCTAGGTGGTGTGAATGTATGCTTCGCTTTTCTCCAGGTTCTGTTTATAATATTCAAACAGATGATTATTTTGTTGCCCACTGACTGGTACGTGAAAAACGAGTGTTTCATCGCATTTTTTGGACTTATAGACAATGTTGCGAGGCTTTCAATTTTTGCAAACCAGTAATTCAAATCGATGGCACTCATTTATATGGAAAGTATAAAGGGAAATTATTGATTGTCATAGCTCAGGATGGAAATGCAGAATGTTTGCCATTAGCACTTGCAATTATTGAAGGCAAGACTTTGGAAGCATGGCAGTACTTCCTTGATAACATTCGTCGTCATGTCACGCAAAAGCAAAACATATGTCTCATTTCAGATCGGCATCGAAGCATATTATCTGCTGTGGAGAATCATCGTGGTTGGCAGCCACCACATGCCCAACATGTGTTTTGCCTTCGCCATATTGCAAGTAATTTTAATCAAAAGTTCCGGAACGAAAAATTGAAGAAGACGATTATGAATTTGGGTATGTTTTGGTCTCTTTTTTATGATGTTTAGGATTATTATTCATTGCAACAAATTATTAAATATTTTTCTCTTTTCAGGTTATACTCCTTCTAAGGTTGATTTCGATATAGCCTTTGCAAAATTTCGTGACATTAGTCCTGAGATTGCAGATTGGATTGATCAGATTCCAAAGGAAAAGTGGACGAGGGCATATGAAGTCGATGGACTTAAATATGGCCATATGACATCAAACTTGTCTGAATCCGTTAACTGGGTTTTGAAGGGTGCAAGAAACATGCCAATAACTGGTTTGGTTAAGCATACATACAGCAGGCTAGTTCATTATTTTGTGGAAAGAGGTCAAGCAGCTACAACACAGCTTCATGCTTCACATCGTCATTGCAAAAATATAGTTGAATCGATGAAGTTTAATGAGTGCCTTGCAACAGGTCACAATGTGCGTACATACAATGTTGATGAAATTGTATTTGAAGTTGACGAGGGTTATGAGAGATCGTATTTTGTCAACCTTCCAGAGAGATATTGTCAATGTGGAAAGTTTAAGGCTTTCAAGTACCCATGTAGTCATGCCTATACGGCGGCACTAAGTGTTCGGCAGAATCCTTTTGGATTTGTGGACGATGTGTTCTTGACAGAGAATTTGGTTCATGCATACTCATTTTCTTGGCAGCCAAGTGGTAATGAGGCTGCTATTCCACCTTGGGTAGGTCCAGTTATCATACCCGACAAATCTATGTTGCGTGCAAAAGGCCGTCCAAATTCAACTAGGATACGCAACGAGATGAATGAAGTTGAAGCCAGTCAAAGTCGAATTAAGTGTGGTCTTTGTAAGCTACCTGGGCATAATCGCCGCTCTTATCCTAATCGTTTACCCAATCAGTGATGGATGTAACGTTTGTAATCAAAATGATAGTCACCTTTTACGTGGCTTTATTATGTTGTGTTATCTATGTCATTTGTTTCATTAATCTAGTTATGCTGAAAAATAAATAACTCATACACAATATGGGATAAGCATGCAGTCCATGAAATATA